TCGTGGGCAAATTCCAGTAAACAGACAAATAAGTAAGTATGCTTACATGTATACATACTCCACATTACCAATATGAATTATGTACACATATATATGTATAGTTTTAATACATATTTCTGCCTACAGAATAGTACTACTTTGATGTCCTCATGTTATCACCAAAATCTTTTATATCTGAATTCACATCTTCTGCCCTAAAATGGCTTTGCTTTTTTAACTTTCCCATTCTTCATGTCCTAGTTTAAAAACTTGTAACTCCCAGTCTGGTCATTAAGTTTCTTCTGACTTTAAAAAAATGGTTTTTACATTTGCCTTTTGATGCAAGTCACTGAGAAAACCTAAGAAATAGAGAAGTGCAGGTGTGCCTGGGTGGTTCAGTCAGTTAAGCGCCTCTCTCTCTCTCTCTCTTTTTGTTAAGCTTCTGACTCTTGATTTCTGCTCAGGTCATGATTTTGGGATCACGACACTATGTCTCAAATAAATAAAATACTTTTTTTTTTTTTAATGAGAAAGTGTAGGATTGCAGAAAACTGTGGTGCCAATCTCAAGATACCTGTAGCAGTACTATGAACAGTTACTAGAATCCCTGAAGACACTGACAAAACCTTACATCTCCCGATGACCACCTACCTATGTGCAACTGACCCTGGAGGATAATGTCTTCTACTTCTCTTTGACCTTTAAATTTTTGTGTAATTCTCTATTGGTGGTAGATTTTCAGAATTGAACCCTGCTGGTAAGGGAGTGTGGGAAGTGCTTCTAGATCCTGCCACATTGAGAAGGATTAAAAGATGGGATAGGGGCGCCTGGGTGGCTCAGTCATTAAGCATCTACCTTCGGCTCAGGTCATGATCCCAGGGTCCTGGGATTGAGCCCCAAATCAGGCTCTCTGCTCAGCAGAAAGCCTGCTTCTCCCTCTCCCACTCCGCCAGCTTGTGTTCCTTCTCTTACTGTGTCTCTGTTAAATGGCTAAATAAAATCTTTTTAAAAGGTGGGGGGGGGTGGATAGTGTGAAGTATCAGCAGGCAGTATGCAGCGCATACCCTCAGTTCCCTTAGAACAAATATAAATTCTTTAGCTTAGAATTTTGTATCAAGCAATTCCAGATCTGAGTAGTTACCTGAATGAAACAAAATCACTGTCTTGAAGATTTATCTGCATGCCCCGTGTTCAGTGCATTATTATTTATGATAGGTAAAATAGGAATAACCTAAGTGTTCATTGACAGGTGAATGAATAAAGAAAATGTGATATATATGTACATATATTTTAATATTATTCAGCCATTAAAAAGAATGAAATTCTGCCACTTGTGACAACATAGAGGACCTTGCAGGTATTATACTAAGAGAAATAAGTCACACAGGGAAAGGCAGATGCTGTACGATCTTAGATGTGGAATCAAAAAAAGCTGAACTCATAGGTACAGATCATAGATAAAGAAAACAGTTTGGTTGTTGTCAGTGGTGGGTAGTGGGGTGGGGGAAATGGGAAATGATGGTCAAACGGTACAGACTTCCAAGTTATAAGTAAATCTTAGGGATGTAGTGTTCTACTTGGTGACTGTGACTAACAATACTGTAATGTATATTTCTTTTTTAAAGAGAGCATGGGTGGGGAGGTGCAGAAGGGAAGGGAGAGAGAGAATCTTAAGCAGACTCCACACCCAGTGTAGACCCTGACACAGGACTCAGTCTCACAACCCTGGGGTTAAGACCTGAGCTGAAATTAAGAGTTGGTCGCTCAACTGACTAAGTCATGCAGAGACTCCTATATTGTATATTTTAATGTTGCTAAGAGAGTAGATCTGATCACAGAAAATTTGTAATTGTGAGGTGATAGATGTTAAGTAAATTTATTGCAGTGATCATTTCCCAATGTATTTCATGTAGTAAATCATTCTTTTGTACACCTAAAACTAATACAGTATTATGTGGCAGTTATACCTTAATAAAAACCTGTGGCTTTTCATGTTTGACACCTTAAATGACCAGCCTTATCTTTTACATTCTGTCAGTAGAAATTGTAGTTGTTGTTGTTTTTTTAAAGATTTATTTATTTATTTGACAATCAGAGATCACAAGTAGGCAGAGAGGCAGGCAGAGAGAGAGGGAGAAGCAGGCTTCCTGCCGAGCAGAGAACCCGATGGAGGGCTCGATCCCAGGACCTTGAGATCATGACCTGAGACGAAGACAGGGGCTTTAACCCACTGAGCCACCCAGGTGCTCCTGTAAAAATTGTAGTTGAACCACCTGTTTTTCTTACTGATCTTTTACTCTGTGACTTCCAGCTCCCGTAATTGTGAAGTTTTCTTCCTCTTTTCTTTAAACACACACATAACCTAAGTCTTATGCCCTACCTCAGGTGTTAACCTACTTTTCACTCCTATATCAGAACTTCCACATTTAAAAGTGTCTCTCCCACTAGAGTGGATTCTTCTAAGAATAAGGACCTTATCTGCCTTATTTGCCAATCTATTTCTAATCTTTACAAAATAATCTGACACACGGTAATTGCTTAATAGTAAGTGAATGAGTAAGGTATTGGTTGTATGGTTTATCTCTGAAAGGATATAATTCCAGTTAATTCACTAAAAAGAGAAGGAAATAAAACTTTAAATGTACTGACAGAGAAAGAGGTCTCTGGTGTAATTTTGAGTGATGAGAGAGAGTAAAATATTATTTTTCTATACTTAGCAGTGGGGAAAATATATACCACTGTTAACACTGAGTACCGGGGCACCGGGGTGGCTCAGTGGGTTAAAGCCTCTGCCTTCTGTTCATGTCATGATCCCAGGGTCCCAGGGTCCTCGGATCAAGCCTCGCATTGGGCTCTCTGCTCAGCAGGGGAGCCTGTTTCCCCCTCTCTGTCTCTGCCTGCCTCTCTGCCTACTTGTGATCTCTGTCTATCAAATAAATAAAATCTTTAAAAAACAAAACAAAACACTGAGTACCTAGGATGTTGATTGGGAGCTAAATACATTATATATTTTTTGTATTTGAATGTTTTAAAACAAGCATACTATTTTTTAATGCAAACAGTTTTTTTTTTAAAGACTTTATAATTTTTAAGTAATCTGATAGCCAACTTGGGGCTCAGACTTACAACCTGGAGATCAAGGATTACATGCAGTCCCCAAGGAGCTTCCCGGGCTCCCGGGTTTTGGATTTTTTTTTTTTAAAGAATACATTTTAACAGGTGTTGAATAAAATGCAACACCTAAGCGTAAAATCATAACAAAAACCATAAAAGAAGGCAACTTCCTTATTTTTTGCTTTATCTAAAATGAACATATAAAAATATAATAGAGTTAATCCCATTATATAATGTTAGCATACAGTGTTGTATTAATTTCAGGTGTACAGTGTAGTGCTTCAGTTCCATACATCGATTTGCCTTTTAATGTATTTTTTTAAGATTTTATTTATTTATTTGACAGAGAGAGATCACAGGTTGGCAGAGAGGCAGGCAGGGGGTGGGGGGAAGCAGGCTCTGAGCAGAAAATCTTTCGTATTTGGATCTTGTTCACTTTCTCTAACTTAAAGTTCGACTAATTTGCCTGTTTAAGAAAGCAGTATCTGAAAAGTTACATTATTATTGACAGTGGAATTATATATTTTTACTCTTATGTTTCTCTAAATGTTTTTCTTTTCCCATTGCTGAAAAAAAATTAGAAACTTGTGGTCTCCTCTGACCCTCAGTGGTACCTGTAATCTACTGTATTCACAGTGTCTGGCACTGTCCACTGTGGCCTTTCTTAGCATTTTTACCTGCAGAAAAACTTTGTATGGCACGATTGTGTTGATCATATTGTAAATCTAAGTATACATCTCACTGGAATAATTAATTGTATGTTGCACTGTGCTGTGTAGATAGTTCCTGTTGGAAAAAAGAGTTGAAGTTTATTAAAGCCAGAAAGTATGAGAGTCTATTATGTTAAATTCAGTAAGGGAAATCCAAAATCTTGCATTTTTTTTTCTTTTTAGGAAAGATGTATTGTGAAAATTGTTAACATAAAAGTGATAATTTAGTTCTAATAGTCTTCTATGATTACACTAATGTAGCCTAGAAATAGCTGTGTCTTTAGGAAAGTATGGTCTGGTTTTTGATTTTTATAGGTAAGTACAGAGCAGATATGATCTCATGAATGTTCTGATGTGTAACATTTGCCTTCAGCTTTTGAAATGGAATGGGTCTGAGAAATTCAGAAAGTATGACTATATAATCTTCATATTCTTTTATAATAATTTGAGGTCCAAAAGACTGCATTTTTAAACAAGTTACTATTAATGCATTGGCCCATGTAGCAAAAAGATATTTGATTATCTTACAAATTGTTAAATACCTTTTTCATGAATTTTCTCAGTATTGTAACAGCAGCTTGTCAAATCCAAGCGTATTTGAATGTAAGCTCCCATAATTTGAAACTGAAATAGTATTGTGGTTCTGTATATTATGTTAAAAAAATTAAAGAATGGAAACCTTAAAAAAAAAAAAAAAAAACAAAAACTGAGCAGAGAGCCGGATGCAAGGCTTGATTGACCTGAGCTGAAGGCAGAGGCTTAACCCTCTGAGCCACCCAGGCACCCCCTCCCCGTTTTTTTTTTTTAATTCAGCATATGTATCTGGACATTTTTTCTGTCTCTGAACGTAGAGATTATGACGGTCTTTTTAGTTTTATTAAGTAACCTCTACACCTGATATGGGGTCTTGAACTCATGATCCTGAGATCAAGAGTCCCAGGCTCTACCAACTGAGCCATCCAGGTGCCCCATGACTTTTTTTTAAAGGCTTTTTGGTGTTTCATTTTATTGACACATACTAATTTAATCACTGCAGGAATTTTTCTCAAGTTTTCCTTTTTCTTGTAAAGAATATAAGGAATGTCTTGTTCCAGTGAAATCTTAACAAAATTGTACTTTTAGTTTTGTGACCCAAACTCGTAAATATTTTGGTATATTCCCTTTTAATAGTCTTGGCTTCCTTCCTATGTATTTCAGGTCTGCGGATCAATGGAGAACTAATAACTGCCTATCCCCAAGTGGTGGTAGTGAGAGTACCAACCCCTTGGGTGCAAAGTGATAGTGACATAACTGTTTTGCGCCATTTAGAGAAGATGGGATGTCGGTTGATGAACCGACCTCAAGCCATCCTGAACTGTGTTAATAAATTTTGGACTTTTCAAGAGTTGGCTGGCCATGGTGTTCCTCTGCCAGATACTTTCTCTTATGGTAAGTTCACTAATAAGAATTTATAGCCCAAGTTTTACACCACTTATAGTACTGAAAGCTGTACTAAATTAATAGGGTTATGTGATATAAGGAAATTGTGAACATGAAGGAATTTCTTATAGAAATAGCTTTCAGTCTTAACAAACTGGGCCCAAGAATTATATATTCTGCGTTAAGATTTAATTCCATGATATTGTAGAGTGGATTTAGCAAACTTTTTGCAAAGGGCCAAACAGTAAATATTTTGCACTTTCTGGGCCGTTAAGTTCTCTCTTGTGACCCTCAGTAATGCTGCTGTAGTGTGAAAGCTGTGTTCCAATAAAACTTCATTATAAAAAAAGACACTGGACCAAATCTGTCTTAAAGGCCTTAGTTTGCCAATGCCACGGTAAAAGATAATACAATTTGGTGACATCTCTGTTTAATGTCTGATTATCCTCATCAGCATTTTCGTGATAATTCTTCAAAAATTGTTTTCTTTTAAGAAAATGACAGTATTCTAGGTATACTTGAAAACCAGTGCTTCCAAAACTGTGTATGGTAAAGGTAAAGGGTCTTTTTTTTTTTTTTTAAAACAAAAATGTTGGGTTTAAGTACTTTTTTTTTTTTTTTTTTTTAAGATTTTGTTTATTTATTTGACAGAGAGGGACACAGTGAGAGAGGGAACACAAGCAGGGGGAATGGGAGTGCAGGGAGCCTGGTGTGGGGCTTGATCCCAGGACCCTGGTATCATGACCTGAGCCGAAGGCAGCTGCTTAACAACTGAGCCATCCAGGTGCCCCTTTGGTTCAGTACTCTTATGAAATATGATAAAAATGTCTGAGCAATGCAAGATGGCTATAAAAGCTTCCAGTGCTACCCTTTTCATATTTATCTGGTCACATATCAGTAGCGGAGAAGTTACAAGCAGGCACAGGTTACCGGACAACACTTTTGAGTAGCACTGCCATAAATAATACTATGTTAGTATATTTCCTGTCTGTCCAGTTCTTTTGTTTGGAAAGGATCAAACTTACTATAAATCATCACAATTTTCCATAAAGACAATTCTTCAAATAAATATTCAGTAGTGTTCTTGGAGAGTCAATGAGGCCTCTTTAAAAAAAAAATTATTTATAAGTGAGAGAACACGCACACGCACACACGTGTGGGGAGGAGCAGTTGGAAAGGGATGTGCAAACTCTGCACTGAGTGTGGAGCCCGACACAGGGCTCAGTCTCATGACCCTGAGATCGTGACCTGAGCCAAAATTTAGAGTTAGATGTTTAACTGAGTGAGTCACTCAGGGGCCCCAACTTAAATATTTTACAGAAAGGAGCTCCCCAAGTCTGTATGGCATGTGTGGATACAGTTGCTGATTTTAGCAATTGCACAAGAAGAGACAATATGAATAGTTTGAGAATTCTGTCAGATGCTTTTGGGATCTAGCTTATATTAGGAGTCTATACTTCAGATTTCAGGAAAGTGGAAAGGAGAAAAGGGTTAAATTAACAAATGTTACCTATACTCTAATGCTGAAGGTTTAAAATTAGGGGATAGAATCATCTAATGTCTCTAAGCTGCAAATGTATGGTAATGCAGTTGATTAATGAACTTTTTCCGGGTTAAATTCTTTTATATCACCATGCTGAGTTTTTACAGCTGTAGTTCATTTTTGCTCTAATCTTGTTACTGTATCATTTGTTCTTAGGCAATAAAAACAGTAAAGGATAAAATTTAACTCATGGGTACTGGGTGGCTCAGTGTAGAAAGAACTAATTAATGGAGATAAAAATTAATTTGTATGTTTCATGAGAGGGAGAGAACACAGGTAGCGTCAACCTTGGATAAGTCTTGTAAACAGACTTACTCTTCTGTTTCTTAATCTAAATCGGGCAATGAGTACGCTGAAGAAGAACTTGGTGCTTCTTTTATCTTGTGTAGCGGAAGAATGAGGGATAAAAATATAAAATACTGTATAGAATTAGGTAACTGAGCGGAAAGATAATTAATTTTTTAAGTTTGATATTAGAATATTCATAGTTTAAGATAGCTTTCATCCTTTTTTTTTTAAATAAGTGTGATTTTTTTTTTTTTAAGGATTTTATTTATTTATTTGACAGAGAGAGATCACAGGTAGGGAGAGAGGCAGGCAGAGGAAGAGGGAAGCAGGCTCTCCACTGAGCAGAGAGCCTGATGCAGGGCTCGATCCCAGGACCCTGAGATCATGACCTGAACTGAAGGCAGAGGCTCAACCCACTGAGCCACCCAGGCGCCCCCTTTCATCCATTTTAAAAGGGGTTATTTTAAACTAGTACTTAACTGTCCTTATAGCTTTTTAAAAAATATTTATTTATTTATTTATTTGACAGAGAGAGAGAGAGAGAGAGCGATCACAAGTAGGCAGAGGCTGGCAGAGAGAAAGGGGGAAGCAGGCTCCCCGCCGAGCAGAGAGCCTGATGCGGGGCTCAATTCCAGGACCCTGAGATCACGACCTGAACCGAAGGCAGAGGCTTTAACACACTGAGCCACCCAGGCACCCCTCCTTACAGCTTTTTAAAGTAGGCTCCATGCTGTGCATGGGGCTTGAATTCAGAACTGTGAGATCATGAGGTCAAGACCTGACCTGAGATCAAGAGTTGGATGTTTAACTGCCTGAGCCACCCAGGCAGTTTTAACTTTTCTTTTCTTTTTTTTTTTTTTTTTTAAGATTTTGTTCATTTATTAGCGTGTGAGAGAGAGAGAGAGTGAGCAGTTGGGAGAGGGAGGAGCAGACTCCCAACTGAGCAGGGAGCCTGATGCGGTGCTCAATCCCAGGACCCCAGGATCATGTCCTGAGCTGAAGGCAGATGCTCAACTGACTGAGCCACCCAGGCGCCACAGGCACCTGTCAACTTTTAATAACTTTCTTTAAGAAAAACAAAATTTAGCCATCATGTTCTTAACCTTCTACCTCCTCTGTGTTGCTGACTTTAGTATAGATAAAACTTACCACAAAACACCTGTGTTACTGTTCTTAATTTCTTTTTTGTTCAAACCAGGTGGTCATGAAAATTTTGCTAAAATGATTGATGAAGCAGAAGTACTGGAGTTTCCAATGGTAGTGAAGAATACACGAGGTCATAGAGGTGTGTATGAATTGTTCCTATGGTACATCATTTTGAAATTACTCGAGAATTAATAAGGTTGATTATACAAAACAAATTTTTCTTAATCTGATCAATGTTGTTATTATTTTCTTTGTATTTCCTATGGTTATTGACTAGACAGTAGTTTTACCTGTTGAAATACATAGCTTTTGAAGGACTTTGGGAGAATAAAAGGAAATTGTTGGTGCATGGTACTTCAGACTTCTGGAAGTCTGTTTTGGCTAGAAGCTATTTCTGTTCATTTAGTGGTTGTCCTGTAGATTTTAAGGTGCATATTTAATTTACACCAACTTTCAAATTATATCTTTATCTTCCTCTTTAATAATGCAAGGACCTTAGATCACTAATTCCAGTGATCCCTGTCCCAATTTATATAGTTTGAATACTTAAGTATATAAAGTAAAGCTATGAAGCTATAGAAGAAAGTGTATAAAGATACCTTAATGACTTCAGAGTAAGGATTTCCTTATTTTTTTAAGATTTTTATTTATTTGACAGACAGAGAGCACAAGTAGGCAGAGAAGCAGGCAGAGAGAGAGGAGGAAGCAGGCTCCCCGCTGAGCAGAGAACCCGATGTGGGGCTCGATCCCAGGACCCTGAGATCATGACCTGAGCTGAAGGCAGAGGCTTTAACCCACTGAGCCACCCAGGCGCCCCCAGAGTAAGGATTTCTTAAGGCATAACATTTTCATGAATCCAAGTACTTCATAAAGCTTAATGCCTTGACAGTATGGCAGCCAAGAAGTCTTAGGGCTCCACAGAGAGGCTCCAGTGAACACAGAAGCTGCATGATCTCTTATGAATTAGCCTCAGAAGTCACAGAAAAGGTTCTGCTGTGTTCTGTTGTTTGAAGCAATCACAGGCCCGCCTTGATTCAAAGGGAAAGGACAAAGATTCCCCCCTCTTCTCGGTGGGAAGAATGTCAAAGGATTTATACCCCCTTTTTTTTTTTTAAAGGATTTTATTTTATTTTATTTATTTATTTATTTATTTATTTATTTGAGAAAGAGGGAGAGAGATCATAAGCGGGTACTGGGACAGAGGAAGAGAGGGAGCCTAATGCAGGGCTAGATCCTAGGATTCTAGCATCATGACCTCTGTTGAAGGTAGATACTTAACTGACTTAACCACACAGGTGCCGCACACCCATGTTTGAAAAACAGCCACTTGTGGGCACCTGGGTGGCTCAGTGGGTTAAGCCTCTGCCTTTGGCTCAGGTCATGATCTCAGGGTCCTTGGATGGAGTCTTGCATCAGGCTCTCTGCTCAGCAGGGAGCCTGCTTCCCCTCCCTGCCTACTTGTGATCTCTCTCTCTGTCAAATAAATAAATGAAATCTTTAAAAAAAAAAAGCTAGCCACTTGCTTTGGCACCAAAATTGACAAATACAGTAATGGAATTGACTAGTGAACTCAGAAATAAAACTAGGTATGTAGTAACATACTGCTAGTTTTTTCTATGCAAATGTTAACATATATTGTATAATAATATATGACTCATTTTTACTCAGAGGGAAATGTTACGCTAATAAATAAGGCTGGCATTATTGGCTGACCTAGAGGAATACAAATGTTAGACCACTGCTTTATGACATATACCAAAATAAACTCTAGATTACTGTAGGAATTAAGAGAGTGGTAGGAGAGAATTAACTTTATACACATTTTTGCATTGTTTCACTCATTACCATAACTGTTACTTAGGTTAAAAGAGCAGGTTGAGACTCAAGAAGATGCAGGTGGTGCACATCAACTGTGAGCAGTTTGACTTACATATATTTTTTATTCTTTTTCAACCACAGGCAAAGCGGTTTTCTTGGCCCGAGATAAGCACCATTTGGCTGATCTAAGCCATCTTATTCGCCATGAAGCTCCATACCTATTCCAGAAGTATGTTAAGGAGTCTCATGGACGAGATGTCCGTGTCATTGTTGTGGGAGGCCGTGTGGTTGGCACCATGTTACGTTGTTCAACAGATGGAAGGATGCAAAGCAACTGCTCACTAGGTAAAAACAATACCGGTGTCTTTCTAGTATATATAATACTATAGCTTCTCCAGTGAGTATTCATATGTAACTACAGGTAACTTAAGATAAACTTAAGATAAACTTAAGTTTAAAAACATTATCTTTCACTTGTAACTATGATCAGTAGTTATAATATAATTATATTATTATATGAATATAATAAATACACTTTTGAGTTTTCTAATAATAAAATTGGTTTTCTCTGAAACATAAATTTGCTTTTTACCCATGTTCAATTTTTTTTTAAATTTTTTTTAAGATTTTATTTATTTATTTGACAGACAGAGATTACAAGTAGGCAGAGAGGCAGGCAGAGAGAGAGGAGGAAGCAGGCTCCTCGCTGAGCAGAGAGCCCGATGTGGGGCTTGATCCCAGGACTCTGAGATCATGACCTGAGCCGAAGGCAGAGGCTTTAACCCACTGAGCCACCCAGGCGCCCCTACCCATGCTCAATTTGTAACCCAGTTCACACTTGTATGAAATGTCTGACCAGAGTTAAAGATTCCATCTTTGGTGATAATACTTAATTTGCATGTAATTATGTTCGCTCAGGCTGGGTCCTAACCTGTTTTACCCATTGGTCAAAACAAGATTACTGCTTTTGATTTACTTTACTGTGTATTTTCTTGATCTCTTATTGTTAAAGTACCTTAGAACTTAGTCTGGGTTTTTTCCCTGTGTATTTTGTTTCCTTAGTCATCTGATCTGGATTGTGACTTTAAATACTATCTGTGTTGTTATTTTCAAATTTATATCTCCATCTTGGGCTTTCTTTCTGAACTCCCAAGTACATAAAAATAGCTGCCTGTTCAGTTATCTACCAGTAGTTGCATAACACAATCCTGTGCAAAAGTGAACTCCCCATATAACTCCCCCTCCCAGTGTATTTCATCCCCAGTTTTCTCCTTATCATGTAACGGCAACTCTGTCTCTCCAATTTAGACCAAAATCTTTAGTCTTCAAGTCTTATACCACAAATCAAAGCTGTCATATTTCAGTTTCTTTATTTCTACTCTCAAAGTGTATCCAAATCTGACAATTTCTCATTATCTCTGCCATTAATATTGTCTTACCATACTTGGATTACTTGTAGTAGCCCCTAATTGGTTGTTTTGCTTCCATCCTTACTCTCTTACAGTCTAACACCTCAGTGATGTGATAGATCTTTTTAAAATACATCTCAAGTCAGGCTTTGTTTAAAATCCTCCAGTGGTTCCTTGTTTCATTCAAAGTATAGTAGTCTATAGTGGTCTTACAGTAGACTAACAGTCCCTGCATGATTTGACCCCTAGTTATCGCTGAGATCTACAACTACAGCAGTAAATCTCAGAAACATAATGTTGAGCCAAAAAATGAAAGTCTTAGAAGAGAATACTTATAGTATTCCATTTATATAAAATTTAAATATATGTAAAATCAGTCAAATTTTGCTGGGAATATAAATTTATACAGTAAAGTGTAAAGAAAAACAATATTGACAAGTGTGAAATTCAGCATAGTGCCATAGAATAGGAGCACAGGGAATTTGAAAGGTGATCGTGATATAAAGCCTCTTTTGTATTCTTGAAAAAATAATTTCTGCCTCCTGGCATTAGTTCTTCATATCCCATTTTCCATCCCATCATATTATGCTTATTAGCAGCTGCAGAGCTGAATGGCATCTTTTCATTTCTGGGACACCTTTACCTACTTACTTTTCTACCATGAAATTTAATTAACAATTTTTATGCTTTAAGCAAAGAAATTACAAAGGTAAGTTAATTATATATTAAGTAATACTTTTTAAATTTTGAAGTAACTGAGACTTACAGGAAAGTATGAAGGATAATATAAAGGATTTGTTTGTACACATTAACCAGCTTGCAAAATAAGTTGTTGATTTAGTTCTCTGTTGACTCCCTTTCCTGCTCATTTCTCCCTCTCTTCCCCAAGCTCTGAACTTACTGTTTCTCTTTCCCTTAAACGTACTTTCAGTTCTTCTGTCTTCCTAAACAAGATATTATTTCATAAGTTATAAAACCTTATATAAATGATTTATAATGATATATATATATATTTCAAAGATTGTATTTATTTATATGAGAGAGAGAGCATGAAAGGAGAGAAGGCAGAGAGAGAAGCAGACTCCCCGCTGAGCACAGAGCCCGATGCGGGACCCTGATCCTGGGACTCTGATCCTGGGACTCCAGGATCATGACCTGAGCTGAAGGCAGTTGAACCAACTGAGCCACCCAGGCACCTCCCCCCGCCTTTTTTTCCACTTAGCATCATTTTTGAGATTCATCTATTCAACATTTTAGCAGTAGTTGACTGATTTTGCCTGCTGCATAATTTTACCTTTTGACTGCTTCCAATTTGGGCCTTTTATAAGCAGTGTTGCTATGAAAATTTTTTTGTGTCTTTAGATACAGGCCCAAGAGTGTTTCTACGTTAACCCATTCACTCAAAAGTGGGATTTCTGTATCCTAGTGAGTTATACAACTTCACCTTTACTAGATATTACCAAATGAGTGTCCAGAGTCGTTATATGTTTCTTATAGTGCCACCTTTTTGCCAACTTGGGATATTGATAGACTTTAAACATTTTGTCAGCCTGGTGTGATGGTATATCATGTTATTTTAATTTGTACTCCTGACCCTATCCGGCTATCTTTTCTGAATTGCCTGTTGAGGTCTTTGACCTCCTTTATTATTGGGGTTTTTTTGTTTTGTTTTGTTTTTTTAATATGGCTTGGAAAAGAGTCCTTTATGTACTTCAAATCCTTCATCATTTACATGAATTGTAAATGCAGTTTTTCATCCCAGCTTATGATATCTCATCTTTTTTTTTTTCTTCCAAAGATTTTATTTATTTTAGAGAGAGAGGGGAGTCCAGAGAGAGAAGCAGATTCCCTGCCCACCAGGGAGCCCAACCATCCCAGGACCCTGAGGTCTCGACGTGAGCTGAAAGCAGCTGCTTAACCGATTAGGCGCCCCTCAGGCACTCCTCATCTTTTTTGGTTTATATATTTTAGTGAATAGAAATTTACAGTTTTAGTATCAAGCATATTTATGGTTTTCTTTACATTATTTTTTATTAAAGAAATTCTTTTTCACCCTGTGGTTGTATTCTATTCTTATTACAGCTCTCTAAAATTTTTTGAAGTTTAGCTTCCATGTTTAGGTTGTTAAGCAACCAGAAATTGATTTTGTTCTTCAGTGTAAGGTAGAGATTCCCATTTTCTTTTTTCCAAATGAGTAACACCTGGTTTTCCCAACACTATTTATTGAATGGCCTGTTCATTACTGATTTATAATGCCATCTTTCTTCTGTTTCAGGGTCCTGTGGTCTGTTATATACTCTTCATTCCCTGTATGATTAGCAATCTAAATTCCTCTACCATTATGCCTACTGTCTGGTAGAGCAAGAGTACCTCTGCCTTATTCTCTAAAATTAAATGCCCTCATTATTCTGTCCCCAGGGAGGCCTTTTTTTTTTTTTTTTAAATAATCCTGATATTTATTTTTCCATCTTTATTGAGATATAATTGACATATAACGTTGTGTAGTTTGAAATGTACAACATAGTGATTTTATATATGTATGTATTGCAAAATGATTACCACAATAAGATTAGTTAACACATCCATTACTTCATTTATTACTGGTGTGTGTGTGGTGAAAACTTTAAAAAAAAAAACTACTCTCAGGACGTGTGGGTGGCTCATTCGGTTAAGTGTCTGATTCTTGATTTTTGGCTCATGTCAGTATCTCAGGGTTGTGAGATCAAGCTCCATGTTGTGGGGCTCTGTGCTTGGCAGGGAGTCTCCTTCTCTCACTCTCTTTGAAATAAATAAGATAAATCTTTAAAAAAATCTACTTTTAGCAATTTTCAAATACATAATATAGTATTATTAACAATAGTTATCATTCTATACATTATATCCCCAGAAGTTATTTTATAACTGGAAGTTTATACCCATTGACCACCTTCACCCATTTCCCCTGCCTTTCCCCTACCCCCATTCTGGCAACCACCCAATCTGTTATGTGTTTCTGTGAGCTTGTTTGTTTGTTTAATTCCACATATAATCATACAGTATTTGTCTTTCTCTGTTTGACTTTTTTCACTTAGTATAATGCCCTCAATATTTATCCATGCTACAAATGGTAGGATTTCTTTTTTTTTTTTTTTAATGGCTAAAAAAAATATTCCTTTGTGTGTGTGTGTGTGTGTATCTCATATATTTTTAAAAAGATTTTATTTATTTATTTGACAGAGAGAGATCACAGGTAGGCAGAGAGGCTGGTAGAGAGAGGGTGGGGAAGCAGGCTCCCTGCTGAGCAGAAAGCCTGATGAGGGGCTCCATCCCACGGTCCTGAGATCATGACCTGAGCTGAAGGCAGAGGCTTAACCCACTGAGCCACCCAGGTGCCCCTATATCTCACATTTTTAAAATATTTATCATTGCAGTGTAGTGGACATACTAGTTTCAGGTGTACAACACAGTGATTTGATAATTCTGTAAATTACTTAGTGTTTACCACAATAAGCATAGTAATCACCATATAACATTATTACAATGTTATGACTATATTCTTCATCTATACCTTTATCTCCATGACCTATTTATTCATTTATTTATTTTTTATAAAGATGTACACATGTTTGCATGGGAGGGCAGGTGGAGAAGAGGAAGGGAGGAAAGGAGAGATCCTGGGGGCTCAATCTCATGAACCCAAAATCACCTGAGCTGAAACCAGTTAGGTGCTTAAGGACTGTGCCACCCAGGCGCCTCCATGACCTCTTTGTTTTATAATTGGAAGTATGTACCTCTTAATCCCCTTCACCTATTTTACCCAGCCCCCACCCTCTCCCCTTTGGCAGCAGGTTGTTCAGAGGCCTTTTTTTATATGCATATTCTCTTACATTCAATATTTATAGAAAAAGTAACTATACCTCTCAAGTTTTGGTACTATAGTAAGTTCTTAATGACTATTAACTTCTTTAGGTATTGCTAGGTATTGTTAGTATTCCCATTTTATTTCAGAGATGAGGAAGGCCCAGAACAGTTAAGTAACTTGCTTGAGATAACAGATCTAATAATGGTGCAGCCAGAATGCAAATATACTATTTGGCTCCAGAGTTGTGCTCTTAACAACTCTTTGAATATGTTGATTTCCAAAATTGAAAAAATTACATGGATTACAGATACCATTTAGATTTCCAAGTAAATTACATGAATTTAGCTTTTTTTTTTAAACTGTTAATCTGTGTGCCTCTGTACTCTTCTTAATGTTTATTAACTATAATATGATCTCAGTTATGTGTAATTATGTAGACACATCTGATGGATAGTTAACTAAATGTTAGATAATTATGGTTAGTACTGGAAATGAGCTTTCAAGCTATTTTTGCAAAGACTTTTGATTTTTCCATAATGAATAGGTTTTGGTCGACTTTAAAACATTTTAGTTTTATACACAGAAATAATTTATAAAATTATTTAAATATCATCCTTTTCATCCTCCCCCCTAATTTTCCTTACCTCTTCTACTCCTTTTACCTACTGTGTACATCTGTCCCTTTATCAATTTGCACTTATTTTCAGTTTTTTGCCACTGTGAGCATTTACTTTAAATACATATCTTTGTGAATAATGCTTTTACATACTGGTACTTTTGTGTTGAGGAGTCTCAAGATTAGTATTGCTGGGTCAAAATATTTTAATTGTTAGAGATGTAGCCAGATTAATTTACCAGAAGGCAAGAAGTGTATTTCTACATCTAACATATTAAAATACCCTTTTTTCCTCTCCCCCTCATAAGAACTCTTACTTTTTTTGTCTTAAGTTTTTGCCCATTTAATGGAAGTTAAATACTATCTCACTGTTACTTTAATTTTTTTAAGATTTATTTTTTATTTTTTATTCATTTATTTGACAGAGAGACAGAGATCACAAGCAGGCAGAGAGGCGGGCAGAGAGAGGAGGAAGCAGGCTCCCCACTGAGCAGAGAGCTCTATGTGGGGCTCATCCCAGGACCCTGAGATCATGACCTGAGCTGAAGGCAGAGGCTTAACTCACTGAGCCACCCAGGCGTCCCTGTTATTTTAATTTTATTTCCCTGTTAATGATGGGCATATTTTTCATAGCTTCTTGGTAATTTATATGTACATCTATATGAATTGCTTTTTATCATATTTGTCATCTCTTTTTGTTTAACATTTCCAGTAACCACTAAATGCCTGCTATAGAGCCCTCCTCCTCTAATCTCAGTTGAACAACCCAAAATGCCACATTTCAGTTTCTAAATTCTCCCCCTTTTGAGAACCACTGCTTGAGAACCTCTAGAACAGTGTTAAGTAATGAGTTTAAGTATCTAAGTTTCTGATTTTCATTGAGATTGTTTAATGTTTTGCTATTTAGAATATTTAAGTAGCTTCATTCTCCTAGAGTTTTTAAGTAGGAATGATTGTCTAATTTTATCCTATGCCTTTTGGAATCCTTGTATTGATAAAATCATTAGTGTGTTTTCCACCTTTAATTTCTTGATGCATAATGGATTATGTTGATAAATTTTAAATTTAAAACAGTCTTTGGACTATTCTTGCATTTCTAGAATAAACCTTTAAATAGGTATTAGCATATTTTAAAATTGGGATTCCTTTAGTATTTTATGTAAAATATTTACATCTGTTTTAATAATTGAAGATTGGTCTGTAATGTTACTTTTTAAAATGTCTTGATCACTTTTGATATCAAGGTTATATAACATTGGTTTTAGTCAGTGTATTGGGGGAATTTTCAGTCTTTTACTAGGGCATTCTACAGGTAAAGTTGACATCGGAATAAGGGATAGCTAAAGACAACTCCACTTTGAACCCATCAGGTCCTGATTCTTTTTGTAGAAGTAGCTCATCTATCACCTTTCCCGTCTCTTCTGTAATATTAGTTGGCCTGTTTAATAAAGTTTGCTTCTTCTTCGATCAGTATTGGTGATTTCTCATTTGCTTAGAAATCAGCCATTTGTTTTAGGTTTCAGTCTCAGTTTCATGAGCTGATTGCTTATGTTTACTTGAATTTCTCTTTTGTCTGCAGTTCTGTCTTTGATATCATTCATAATTTTGTCAAAGTAGCATTTGGATTTTTTTTTCTCCTTTCTATTTTTTTCTATTCTAGTCATTCAACCTTTTATTAAAACTCTATTTTCTTTTTCTAAGAGTACTTAATTTCTTCTTTCTAATTTCAAAATAAAAATTTTGGTATGAAGTGTTTTTACAGATGGTATTTATTTTCCTTTAATTTAGGGGATCAGTGTTCCAATTTCTAAGTCCTTTTTGGTTACTCAAGTCATTAATTTCTAATTTCTAATCTTGCGTTATTATCAGAGAATGTTGCCTGTAAAAAGTGTTTTATAATGTGTTGGGGCGCCTCAGCTCCGTCGGCTGAGCGTCAGATTCTTGGTTATGCTTGGTTCCTAATTTCAGGGTTGTGAGATCCCTCGCTGAGCTGAGCATGGGGCCTCCTCAGGATTCTTTCTCTCCGTTTCCATCTGTCCCAACCCCCCACTCACAAGCTGTCTCTTTCTCTTAAAAAAAAAAGAGTTAAGGTTTTGTTTGTTTTGGGCAAAAACGTGATTGATTGTTGTCAATATTTGATAAAGGAAAAATGGGTATATGGATATATACTATAAGGCTCTTAAGTGAAGTTTGTTTTTGCCTTTGTCCCTCATCTCTTTCCCCATCCCTTTAGTTTTCAAAAATTTTTTCATTTGGTACAGGATATAGATAAATTTTGTCTTTTTTTTTTTTTTTAATTTATTTGATAGCAGAGATCACAAGTAGTCAGAGAGGCAGGCAGAGAGGAGGAAGCAGGCTCCCCGCTGAGCAGAGAGCCCTTTGTGGGGCTCAATCCCAGGACCCTGAGACCATGACCTGAGCCGAAGGCAGAGGCTTTATTTAACCCACTGAGCTACCCTGGCGCCCTGATAAACTTTGTCTTTTATACTGTGGGAAATTTCAGTTTGTTTTTAGTGTAATTGCCAATATAATTCATTTTATTCCTTCAGTTTTATTTCATGTTTTCTGGTTTGTAACCTACCATTAATTCCATTTCCACCCCTGATCCCAGACTTGGTCAGTCTGGATGCTCATCCATGGTTTTACATTCCATTAATGGTTAACTTCTCTTTCCCTATGCTTAAATCAGACACTTATTTCCTCCTATTATTTGAGAAGGTAACAGTTTTTCCCTGATACTCTCCGTTTTCTGCTCTCCTCTGTCTTCATAAAAATATGAAGTCTTTAGAATACCTTCGCCTCAATCCGTATTGTTTCAAGTAAAACAGGTTTCTGTGAAAGTTTAATGCCATCTTCAGAATAGCATATTGAAAAAGTACTAAGTTATTTCTTTGACTGAATTGGACAGAGATTCTCTAATGAAGGAAACTTAGACTTAGGAAGTCACAGTGGTACAGTAGAATGTCACATTTGTTATCACTACTGATTTAAAAGACAGTTAACATTAGAGGCAAGCTTTAGTTTTACTCCAGAAATTTATCATTTTGGTAACTTACCTTGTTTCTTTTTTGCCAGGTGGTGTGGGGATGATGTGCTCCTTGAGTGAACAGGGGAAGCAGCTAGCTATCCAGGTGTCTAATATCCTGGGGATGGATGTGTGTGGCATTGACCTATTGATGAAAGATGACGGCTCCTTCTGTGTCTGCGAGGCCAATGCAAATGTAGGTTTCATCGCCTTTGATAAGGCTTGTAATCTAGATGTAGCTGGTATCATTGCGGACTATGCCGCCTCCCTCCTGCCCTCTGGCCGGCTCACCCGGCGTATGTCCCTGCTCTCCGTGGTGTCCACGGCCAGTGAGACTAGTGAGCCGGAGCTGGGTCCCCCAGCCAGCACTGCTGTCGACAACATGAGCGCAAGTTCCAGCTCTGTTGACAGTGACCCTGAAAGCACCGAGCGAGAGCTGCTCACCAAGCTCCCAGGGGGCCTGTTCAACATGAACCAGCTGATAGCCAATGAGATCAAACTCCTGGTGGAGTGACTCCACCGGTAAATAATTACCAACAACTCCCTTGTAAAACTCAATTTCTTTTTCTTCTTTTTTCTTTCTTTCTTTCTTCTTTTTTTTTTTTAACCAACTTGCAATGCTGTTCATGGAAGGTACTCAGGAAGATGAGAGAAAATTGAGTAGAGTTAGTCAGGAGAGAAGCAAGGGGAGCTAGATTAGACCTCTGCTATTAAGATGTTACTGACTTTCATTTACAGATACCACAGATAGAATGGCAGAAGAGGTGAGACACCAGAGAAGTGTCAGGCTTTTATACTTACCCTTTTAAATTACTCAATGTGTATGTTCTCAGGCCATGAAGAACACAGTTTTTTTCACGGCCCCTTGCTTTTGCTTTTGTACAATTGCTACAAATTTTGGCATAGCGTAACTTCACATTACGTTGCAAAGATTTGTAATGAGAGAGGAAAAGATCTACCTAAATTATAGGAATTTTTACAGATCTGAAAATTCTGCCTCTACCATATTAACTAGCAAGTTTATGTTCATAGTTTATGAAGTCTTGAGGCGCTCTTTTACTGGAATTTTATTATTTCTGTTTTTTGGCTTTCCTTTAATTTGGGTGGGAGGGCAACATTGATATAATCCAATAAAGGTTTCTTAATGACAGAATTGGCATTTTCGTATGATGAAAGGGAAATGAACAGTATTGCAATGTGTGGTACACAAAATGACATTTATTCCAATGTAGATAAAATTACACTAGTTTAAAATATGTGCGTTGACTTGTATTTGTTAGTGTTTTAATCTTTTTTGAAAGATATATGCTCTGTTAATGTTGCAATTTTTTTTTTAATACATGCTAGTCTAACATTCCCTGATCTATGCCTGCATCTTTAACAATGGCCAAAGTGAAGAAAGTGCTACCTTTTTTGTTAACAAGACACTGACTTGAAACATGTGCATTTAAAGCCTTTTCCTTTTTCCTTTTTTCTTTTGGTGGTTGGGCATTTAAAGTATAAGGACAAGGAAAAATATTTTTGGGGGGCAGATTAAGGGCCTATAAATTCTTAAGTATAAAGCTGAAGTGATTTTATAATACCAGCATTATATATTTGCATTTTTCACATTTTAGGAGGGAGTATATATATATGTGTGTGTGTGTGTGCACGCATGCATGTGTATGTGTTTTGCTTTTTGTTTACACCAACCAGTCAAAAAAGGATAGATTCTAGAAAATGGAGCATGATGGGAAACACAGTTTTTACTTTAAATATCAGATAACTTGTTTTAATAACTACACTGGGTTAGAGGTACTCACTAAAGACATAAAGAGACTAGATGCTTCTTAGGCCTTTTTATGTATATGTATGTTGTTTGGTTTTTTCTTTGGTTCTAAACTGTTCAGTGTATGATTTCTTTAAGGCTACATGCTTTTCTATGCTTCTGGCTGTGCATTTTCTCCTATTATACATAGGTTTTAGGGTGGGGTGGATTGGACGTTTTTGTTTGGGGACTTATTTTGCAGTATTAAGTCTCTTATAGCCCAACTCTGAAGCCTTCAGTACTGTCCACTCTTTATATTCCTTTAATTTCTGAATTTATAAAAGCCCCCAAATGGCATATAACACGAGCCTTTAAAACATGGGTATATCTATTTGAATAATGGGTTTGGAAGCTGTGTTAAGAAATGGAGATGCTCCAGAGCTCAACGTAATTTTTTTTAAACAGCAAGTTCCATCTTACTGCAATCCTCTGAAGCTTTTACCCGAGTCCTTTCTTGCCTCTCCAGTGCTTTTTTCCTTCAGATGGACCTTAAACATAATTTCTCGGACACTACTAGAGAGACTTCGAGGCAATAATAAAAGATCAGTACTAACCAGCTCTAACAGAGGTTTGATCATGCTTGTACAGTTTTGCCCCCATTTTAAAAAGGAATGTAATAAAATTTGGTTTTTTTTTCCATAGAATTAAATAATATTAAAGTTGAGTGAAAGGTTGATTGTTGGCAAATAGAATAGTACCTCTAATCTGTGCAGTGTTTCATTTCACCTCAAAAAGATGATAATAAGAAGATTTTCTAATTTATTTTAGGATATCCTAATCTCATATAAAAGAGTTTGACTTGCATAGGGTTTTTTGGGGCCTTAACGTATGTTTATAAGTACCTCTGACTCATTAACAGAAAGAAATACTTGGTACTTCTTTCACTGAATGACCATAGGAGGATGCATATTTGGGATAGAGAAATAAATGAGGGAGAAAGAAGTGCTTAATCAAGTCATTCATATGATTGTGTAGAGAGCATCTGGTTGTCACATAAATTATGATACATTAAATACTTACATATATCACATGCATATAGATTTGCAAATTTTAAAACATTAATAGAACACCCTCTCTACTTGATGAAAAGCTCAGGGGTTTGTGTTGGGTGGGATAAGGTATCAGGAAAAATGTAGATAGCCTTTAAAACTATTTTATCAAACTAACCATATACGATTATCAGATTATTTCACCTTTAGTTTTATTTACTACTGATCAATGTTTTGTGCATTCACACTATATTAAAACATAGCTTTACCAACCTATTTCTGGATTTGTACACACACATGTTAGAATAAAGAGGTTAGGAATGATCATCTTAGAGTTTAAAAACGTGAATATCTTCTTGAACTCCCTCAAATTAAGGTAAAGAATATGAACAAATCATTCTGGAAGAACCCAGATGAAACACCCCAGATATTTAAGTGAAAGTTAAATATATTTTCATATTGTTTAATAACTTGTATAATCTTCATTGCTATTATGAGAGGTAAAAATGTATTTATCAATTATGTGTAATTCTTATGCCCAAATCTGAATTATTGTAAAATTGTGTATTGTTAAAATTGTAATTCTTAATTGTATTTTAAAAGTAATTCTGATACTGTTTTTATGTTACCTATGATGAAAACTGGACTACATACACGCGCGCACATACACACACACACACACACACACACACACACACACGACCTATTCATTTAAAATTTTTAATAGTTTTTTTCTTTTTTTGGTGCCTAATAATTGATTGGTCATTTCTGCTGGCTTTTGCTCCACTGAACTTTGAAATCTTTCTGTATATGCTATCAATAAGAAAATATGCTGGAACGTTAGAAAAAAATCACCAAGAGACTTGTTTTCATCAAGCACTTTATCAGACTTTTAAGAAGGTGTCGAAGGCATTGAAAGAATTGACTTTTCAAAATCATCTCTTCTTTTTCTCAAGAAGAAAACAGTGGAAAAACAAATTCTCCTCATTCAGTGAATCCCCAGTTTGGGGTCTGGGGAGCGTAGAGACATTGTGAAATCAAATCTTGTGTTACATTTTTCTCCTGGCTCACTCTTTTTGAGAAGGTTTATGGGCTATATGGCTGGTGAGACACGATCCCCTCCTAAGAAAATGTAGGTGCTCAGACAGGTAACCTCTGCTGCTACTGTTTTTATTTGTTTGTTTGTTTGTTTAATTTCATTTAAAATTTGTTTTTGTTGTACTAGGATATTTTTAAATGTAATATATTGCAGGATTTATAACCAGGTTCACTGCTTTCTTTCTTTCTTTTTTTTTTTTTTTTCTTTAAAAAAAAAAAAAAAACAACAAAGTTTCATTTAAGATACATTTAGGCGCCTTTGAAGCTTGGATTTTGGAATGTTTCAGTAGTGGCCAGAAATCTGCTGTTGAATCTTCTAGTCTTCCAGGTTTAATTTGAAATGTTTTTAGTTTTGTTTTGGATTTTTGTGTGGTATTTTATTTCCTTTATATCAGTGCCCTTTTGCCATGCTGTTTTGGGGTGGCTGCCTAACTCTAGTGAAAATTCTTTCTATATTAACGGAAGTTTGGTGTTTTAAATTCCTTAATGTTTTGCATTTTTTAAAATTGTTTTTAAAGAAATATTCTAACTGCTTGCACTGTTACTGTTCTTTGCCAGCCTTTTCAGGAGCCAAAAAAACAAAAACAAACAAACAAAAAAATACCCAGAGAAAAAACTTTCCTTCTTCCCCCTTCCTGATGATGAGTGAGAAGTATTGAGAACTTTCGGGGTCAGTGCCCTTCTAAACTCCCCTTCCCCCAATAATGCAGCTGTATAATGAATGGTAAATGCAGCGGTTTGGATTCAGGCACAGCCCCAGCCTGCTTGCAGGTAATTTGATTCTCCTTTCTTTCCATCGCAAGGCTAACTTTACTTTCTTTTTAAAGTTTTTTCTTTCTTTATGTACTTTAAAGGCAACCATGGATTTGTAAAAACTCTTGTATAGAAAATAATGCATAAGTTTATCTAACAAATAATTTGATTAAAGAAGAACTTTTGGGGGTAAAGTTTGAATTGGTTGGGATGAACTCAGGACTTTGGGGATTTACTTTAGCCATTTAGATAACTCCATTCCTTGCTTATATGTCTATAATTAAGTATTTCAGAGTGTGACTTTTGGCTTTGTTTTTGTTTTGGGTTTGTTTGTTTCTTCCATTGTGCTATTCTGGCTTAAGCTTTTTCAGGGGTTGGTGTTCGGAATACACAGTGAGCTCACAGTATAAAGACATCAATTAGGAGTTGACAGGTATGGAAAACTAGAGTTTTGAAAAGGTAAAATTAGGTTCTAGGTTATATATATGGTAAAAACTCACCATAGTGTTGAGTTGATCTTAGTGCTTCTCTTTCTGTGACATCATTATGAAAGTGAAAAGGAATGATGAGACAAAGATAATAGAAAGCATTTCAGTTATTTTAGGAACAGTGTGATCTCAGGAACTAATCATTTTAGTATTTCTAAGACACTAGTTCTAACAAAGAGGTAGATATGAACAGTTTCAGGTTATCATAGTGGTTCATATTTTTAAAAATCACAGGTTCTAACAGATTGGAGGGCATTTCTGAAGCACAAATCATTAAGCCCATTAACCAAGGCTATAAAATATAAAACAAAGTTAGTGGCAGGAATAGCAATACAACTTGTCCATTTTAATATAGCCTTTCTGTTACTTAATGTGTAGTATACCTTTCTCTGTCTACACCAGTCCCTTGCCCTTTCCTCTTTTCTCCTCCTGTCTTTCCCAAAGTTTTAGTTCTAATATGAGTTGTTATCATTGGGAAGATAATCTTTTTTTTTTTTCCCCCTGTTAGGTAGAACTTTAGTGACCGTGATCAGGACCTTTTCAGGATAGACTTCTGCACAATTTTATTCTGTGACTTTAGATGTCCTATCTGAAGAGGTTTTAAGTTCACTAGTTAGCTAATAGGATATCATGGCTTGTTAAGCATTTTACAGCTGAAGGCATAAAATTAATCATTAACCTGTTTTGTGCTTCAATTCACTCATATAAGATAGGGCCATCTCTCCCCTAAACGTCCTAAGACAAAAATATATATGTGTTGAAGTAAAATTTACTAACAGAGGAATCCCAACTGCCTCCTGAAGGAATTTATGATATATACTAAAAAGGGCTTATACCAGAGAACCTTGTTCTCTTGCTAAGAATGGCAAGCATTAGAATGTGTGGACTATGTGATTGTGTGGGACTTGGAGAATTTAACAGTCTCCATTCAGCTTCCCCATGAAGGTCACGGACTTGTTAAGAACGGTCTTGCTTTCAGATTTCATCATATTCAAACTTATTAGCTGGGCCTTATATAGCATATATACCTGGCTGCTACTGTGGGGTTTGGGAACATGAGGGGTGGGGTGAATTGTTGTTGTTTTAGGTTTCAGTCAGACAGACATCACTGTGCCCCAGTTCCCAGAAGCACAGCAGGCCTCTAGGAGCATCCGTGGGAACGGCGCAGTCCTGACATCACCAACTCTCCTGCTCAGGCTCATCCCATATACAGAGGTCAAAGGGTGGGGTTTGAGAACGGGGGAAGGAATGAGAAAGTAGAAACAATGTAACTGCAATGCCACTGTTGACTAGCCTTTGGTGCTTATGTCAGTGTTTGTTTTATTTTTTTATGTTGGCAGAACTATTTCGGGGTAAAGGTAGTAGGGGGGGTGGAACAAAAACAAGCCATTATTATTATTCATTAGTGGATACTGTTCTTTAATAGCTAATACAGAATAAACTTGAAACCTAAACCTTCAGTGACAAAGGGAGTGGAAATAGAAATTAATCTCAGGACTTTAACAAACAGAAAACATTTTATGTTGTGTTAGTTTCCAGTTCTACAACTGCTATTACATTTGTCCCTCTGTCTCCCTTTTTCAACCTGATTTTTTTTGTGTATGTATACAGTTTGAGGAAATGTGCATTTGTGATCAGTCCTTTTAAAAGGACTCAGTGACTTAATCTTGCAAAAGATACACCCAATGCTTACATGGGCATACAAATGCTACCCTATTTTAAATATAGGTGGCGTATGTGTTCGTGTTTTAATGTATTCAGAGCCATTGAGCAATAAGCAGTCCAGAACATTGAAAACTCATGCAGGTAAAGCACCTAATGCCTTTAGTTTCTAGAATTACTATTAAAAACTCCTTTATTATTGCATCTTCCACAATTCTTTAATAGTCTCTGAACTTAAAATTTACAGGAGTTGTGGACTCTCTCATTAAAATTTTAAGTTGCTCACTTATTCATAAGATTGTAGGGATAGGTGAAAAAGGAAAGTATAACAAAATAAATGGTTCCTTGAGATGGCAACTGCTGAGTGTCTACATCTTTCCTCTTAAAAAATTCCCAGCTTAGCATGAATATTGATCATACATTGTTTAATTTTTTGTGATTGGGATTTTTGTTGTTTTGACTTGGGTGGGGAGGTCTTGGGGAATCAGTGAGGAAGCTCATACACATGTGAAAATATGAAATGTTAAAGGAATTTTTCCATTTAATCCGAATAGTAAGCAAGAACTTTTTCTATATACCCTTCTGCTGCAGCAGAGAGATAAACTGGTAGGTGGCAGCAGAAGAAGGAATTCTTCAGATTGACGGCTACTGAAAGAATCTACATAGAAGAGATAGAGCATAACATACCAAGTGAAGGAAAGGGGGCAAAAAATGGAAACAGGACTAAAATGTTTGGATTTTGACTCTAAATGGTAAGTTATTTTCTACTAAGAATGTATTAATCAGTCTACTGGTATATATGACATTGTGGTATGAAATCATAAATGGCTTTATAGGTCCTTGCCTTAGGATGAATTTGGCCTAACGAAGGTACTATCATTTTTTTTATTTTGGGGGGGGGGAGAGAAAACAAAACAAAAAACTAGCACTATGTAAAATTAGGGATCTTTCCCCAGTATATTGATATATATGAACCTTTTCCAGCTTTATTGAGGTATAATTGACAAGCGTAAGATATTTAAAGTATACAACATAATGATTTGATAGATATATACATTGTAAGAGTATCCCCCCCCAATCAAGTTATTCTTTCACATCTAATATGTGAATCTCAATGATGGCAAAAATTATGCCTCTCACAATAAGTCAGGTTTTTAAAAATCTGCCAGATAAATGACATATATATTGTTTAACCATTTTGTAGAAAATAAAGTGTCTCCTTTTTATTAGCAACACTGGGGAGATAGCAACAAAAGTAGGTAATTCGGAAAACTTATGGGGTGAAAATAATTTTTTCTTTAACTAGTTATGTCTTATCTATCTAGTCCCATTTCCTTGTCATTGTGTCTGCTCATCCATTCTACTCTGTTCACCTTTCTTCATTGCTTTTCTGTCTCTGTGCTTATTTTCTTCCATTTTCTTTTTTTTATTTTTAAGATTTTATTATTTATTTGACAGATAACACGTAGGCACAGAGGCAGGCAGAGTGGGGGAAGTGAGCTCCCCACTGAGCAGAGAGCCCGATGTGGGGCTGGATCCCAGGACCCTGAGATCATGACCTGAGCTTAAGGCAGAGGCTTAACCCACTGAGCCACCCAGGCGCCCCTCTTCCATTTTCTTCATTTGTGTTTTTTCTTCCCTATCTGTGTATCTCTTCCTCCTCTTGGTCTCCCTGTATGCTTCACTCATTCATTTCCTCAGAAGTTTACTTTCCCAGTGTTGCCATTTTTCATCTCTGCCTCACTTTTTTTCTGTATGTGTGTGTCCTCCCCTTCTCATTTGCATTCTCCGTGTTTGTATCTTTCAGGGTAAACAGCTTTATTTTTTTTTGCATCAACAAGTACCTTAAGACACTAATCAGAGTATCAACATTGTAATTACCTATTTTAGAATTTGGAGAGGCTACATAGAAGAAATGGGGATTTTTAAAGTCCCTGGAAAGATTAAATTTCGGAATTGAAATTTATAGTAAGATGCAGATCCATTTACTCATTCAGCCGCAAGTTTATTTTAACTATAGTATCTATTGTTGCTGGAAACAAGCTGTTTTAAGATCAATTGGACAGAAAGAAAAGTCCTGGGGTTCTTAATTTCATCTAGACTTAAGTTCAAATTGATTCTGATTTTTTTCAAGTTTCTAATGAAATCAGGAAAGCAGTTACTAATTTAGAGATGTTTACTAGAGAATAAATCTTTTTACTGAGATATAATTGACATAAGTTTTAGATGTACAACACAATGATTTAATATTTATATACATTGGGAAATGATCACCATAGTAAGTCTAAGTAACATGCATCACTATATATAATTATAGAATTCTTTTTTTATTGTGATGAGGACTTTAAAAAGCTGCTCTTAGCAACTTTGAAATATGCAGTATGGCATTATGACTTAGGTATTTTATAACTGGAGGGAAAATAAACGTTTAGTCTTTCAGATAAAAGTAATTGAAACAAAAAGTCTTTTTTTCTAGGATATACATGTAAACATTTAGAAGTGTTAATTAGCTTCATTAAAGTAGCACATAAATAATTGTTTTCAAGTTTTATAGATGGTGAAAACAGGATATCCAGAAGAGAAATTATTATTTAAAGAAAAGGAGTCCTGTTTCCTATTAACATATGTAATAACAGATTGAACTACCGCATACAAGTGCCTGTGATTGAAGTTTAGAGTTTTTAAGCTGGAAAGCTTAGAGGCTATATATTACAATCTTGAATATGCTGGTAAGGAAACTAAGGTTCACAGAAGTTAGTAACTTTCCCAAGATTACAGAACCACAACAAGGGCCCAAGTCTCCTACCTGCTAATAAAGTGCTCATTGCATTATATATCATGCATCTTTCTAAATCTGTTGTAGTATCTGAAGAAATGAAATGCTCTGTGATGAGAACTGTGATATACCAATAAAAAGTTATCACTGTTTGTGCTTGTGGTTATCTCCTATGGTGGGGAATCTATTCAAATAAAGGTTATTCAGGCAAGCTGTGGGTGACTATTTTAGGTGGCTTATATGTAAAATTAATGAGCACATCATTTGTAAGGTTTGGTAATGAAAAGGCGTCCCTTGTTAAGGTAAGACGCAAAGAACCTTCAGGTTCTTTGCAGTTTCAGGTTAAGGAGAAGAGGAATGGATTCCTTAGATCACTATACCATGGATGAATAGTAACGTGAAGCTAGAGTAACTGGTACCATTGTCTAAATATGTAGTATTCTTTCCCTTTAAAAAAAAAAAAGGTATAAAAGGAACTTATCTTCTATTAAGAAATATTTATGGAACACAAAACTATGCACCCTAAGTTAATATGGTTGGAATTTCTAAATTTTTTTGGACAGTTTTCTTTTTATTACAGATTTTCATACATAGTTCACATAGAGATGGTACATAGAGATGGCAGTGCTTTAGAACTGAAAGAAGATGACCAGCTTGAATTTTAATCTGAACCAAAATTTATTGTTTATTGTATAACTTACTGAAAATATAACGTAGGGAGGCCTAACTGGCTCGGTCCATAGAGCATGTGAATCTTGATCTCAGAGTTGTGAGTTCAAGCTGCACATTGGGCATGGAGCCTACTTAAAATAAAAATTAAAAAAAAAAAAGTAACCTAGGGTAATAGGGTAAGAGCATAACATTTAAATTTAATTTTGTTTGTTGAGGTGTTTTACTATAATTTTGTGTTTTATTTTGTGTGAAGTTTTGCAAGAATTATTTTTGCCTCAAGGTTTTCCTCTTGGTACAGTTTTTCTGACTAAAATCACAGTTGTCTATATTAATAAGATTGTTAAGGGATAATATTGCTAATACATCTTTATATGTCAGAATAACAGACCATACCTTGGTATGCTTAGTATACCTTTTTCAGGTGAGATCACAAAGGCAAATGTGGTAATCACAAAAAAAAAACAGTTGTAAATTTTTTTGGTAGTCTAGACAGTTTGTAATATTTTATTGTCACATTAGTTAATTTTCAATTTGTTTTTCTTTTTTCTCATCTTAATTATAAAGACTGTTTAAATCTGATTTAAGTGAGCTGTATGTGTTTTTCCCCTCTAGGTTCTTTTGAAGTAACCAGTGATGCTTTTTGCTTATTACTTCATTCACAGAATGGACGAAGATAGATTTGACTGTATGTTTTTTGAAATGGAGTATAGAAATACCCAGAACAAGGAAGCAGTAGCTCTAACCTGTTTGATTCGATGTGTTTTCTAAAATAAAAACACCAGAACTGGGAATGAAATAGTATGGAGTGTGATTTGTTCTTTTGGCAGTTATTCCTGCCCACTCCATCTTATATGAATTCACTTCAGTCCATATGGCTAGACTTGAAGTCTAGCTCCACATGTGTCATTCTCTTTATCCTTTCGTTTTCTTCACTTCGCAAACTCCTTTGGTTCTTGACATACTGATTTTTCTGTAATATATTTGGAAATGATTACTTTCTCCTTTTAGTACATAGGCACTAAAATATGTATCATTTTACATGTAAATGTGTGTTACATGGATTTACTCCTATCCCTTTCCATTCCCACTTTATCTGTCCATGCTAAATAATTGTTTGTGTTTTTTTTTAATTTCTGAAGAAGTGCAACTTTTTTCTTTTTCACTCTGACAGCTCCCTGACATACACTCATCACAGTACTACTCACTATGTTTTAATCTTCTTTAACTAGAGACTATAGAAGATCTGATACATATGTGTGTATACAGAGGCAGCCCTAATACTTAAGACAAAAAATACTGATATTCTTTATAGTCAGATATTGATACAAATTCTAATTCCATTATTTACTGGTTACATGGACTTTGGACAAATCACCCTCTTCAAGCTGTAAGGGAGTATTTGTAAAATTGGAATAATTGTACCCACTTTACTAGATTAAAGTGTAAGTATAGCTTTGCTATAATACATGTATAGTGCTTAGCACATAGTTGAATAATAAATATTGATCTTTGGGACGCCTGGGTGGCTCAGTTGGTTAAGCAGCTGCCTTCGGCTCGGGTCGTGATCCCGGCGTCCTGGGATCGAGTCCCACATCGGGCTCCTTGCTTGGCAGGGAGCCTGCTTCTCCCTCTGCCTCTGCCTGCCATTCTGTCTGCCTGTGCTCGCTCGCTCTCCTTCTCTCTCTCTGATAAATAAATAAAATCTTAAAAAAATACTGATCTTTAATTCTGTAAATTTTGGTTATTGATATCTTACTCAAGAGCTGCTGAATCTTTTCATCTCAGAATTAAAGTCCATAAGATTTTCTTTCTTGATTACTTCTTGGTTTTCCTACGTAAGCTCCTTTCATAAGATTTTGTGGTTGGAACACTGTGTGTACGCATGTATGTGCGTGTACACACTTGTGGCATTTCTCCTAGACTGATTTTTCCTTATCTCTACACTTCATTGACTGACTAAGGAATTTTATATAAGAAAACTTTTATTTCATATTGTCTCTAGTTATTCCCTGTCAGCTCATAACAATAACTTTTTCTTAATCAGGAGAATTAAACATACCACGTACCATGAGGAATAATTTAGGATAGTATGACTTGTTTCCCTAAAAATGATTTAATGTGACTTAACCAGAGTTGTACTAAAATGGTGGAGAAGCCATAATAAAGGGCAAAAATGGTAAAAGAAGGGTTAGAATCATACATAGTATTAGGTCTTATACATTTGCTTAGAGGTGTAACAAAATTGGCAAAGAGTGGAATAAGAAAATTACAGGGACACCTGTATGACTTGGTTGGGCAGCCAACTCTTAATTTTTGGCTCAGGTTGTGCTCTCAGGATCGTGAGATTGAGCCCGGCTTGCATGCTCACTCTCTCTTGTGCTCACAATCACAATAGTCTTAATTGCACAAGACAAGCAGTATGTTCTTTTTTTTTTTTTTTTTTTTTTTTTAAGATTTTATTTTCTTTCTTGACAGAGATTACAAGTAGGCAGAGCAGCAGGCAGAGAGAGGGGCAGCAGGCTCCCTGCCGAACAGAGAGCCTGATGTAGGGCTCAATCCCAGGACCCTGAGACCATGACCTGAGCCGAAGGCAGAGGCTTGAACCCACTGAGCCACCCAGGCGACTGAGGCAGTATGTTCTGATTTTGAAATATCCCACAATGTAGATCAGTACTATGACACTAAAATGCAATCCATTAAAGCCAGCACAGTAAGAAATCCTCTTGACGGTCTAAGCTGATTCAATCATAAAATTTAAATTTTCTTGGGGCGCCTGGGTGGTTCAATGGGTTAAAGCCTCTGCCTTCAGCTTAGGTCATGATCTCAGGGTCCTGGGATCAAGCCCACATCGGGCTCTCTGCTCAGCGGGCGGTGAGCCTGCTTCCTCCTCTTTCTCTGCCTGCCTCTCTGCCTGCTTGTGATCTCTAACTGTCAAATAAAATCTTTTTAAAAAAATTTAAATTTTCTCAGTGATCTACAACTGCCTATAAAATAACCCTTTTATCTACAACCGCCTATAAAATAACCCTTCAAAAATATTTTTAAAAATCTTTTTTTTTTAAAGATTTTATTTATTTGACAGACAGAGATCACAAGTAGGTAGAGAGGCAGGCGGAGAGAGAGGAGGAAGCAGGCTCCCTGCCGAGCAGAGAGCCCGATGTGGGACTGGATCCCAGGACCCTGGGATCATGACCTGAGCCGAAGGCAGAGGCTTTAACCCGCTGAGCCACCCAGGCGCCCCAATATTTTTTAAAAAATCTTAGCTCAGGGGGCTGCCTGGGTGGCTCAGTGGGTAAAGCCTCTGCCTTCAGCTCAGGTCATGATATCAGGGTCCTGGGATCGAGTCCCACATCGGGCTCTCTGCTAGGCAGGGAGCCTGCTTCCTCCTCCCTCTCTCTCTCTGTCTCTCTCTGCTTGCCTCTCTGCCTACTTGTGATCTCTCTCTGTCAAATAAATAAAATCTTTTAAAAAAAAAATCTTAGCTCAGGAACGCCTGGGTAGCTCAGTCAGTTAAGTGTCGAATTTGGCTCGGGTCATGATCTCAGGGTTGTGGAGTCAAGCCCTCTGTTGGGCTCTGTGCTGGAGTCTGCTTGAGATTTCCCTCCTTTTGCCCCTTCCACTTCTCTGATGTGGTTTCCCACTGTCTCTCTAGAATAAATAACAATATATTTTTATTTTTTTAAAGATCTTATTTGTCAGAGAGCACAGAAGCAGGGAGAGCTGCAGGCAGAGGGAGAAACAGGCCCCCTGTTGAGCAAGGAGACTGATGAACTTGATTCCAGGACCTTGGGATCATAATCTGAGCCAAAGGCAGACACTTAATCAACTGAGCAATGCAAGCATCCCAAATAAATACAGTCTTTAAAAAATAAAAGTTTATTGTTTAAAGCATCCATGCTAGTGTCACTTTGGATCCTCCAAATGTGCTAGAGGTGTTCTGAAGAAGATGGCAGTGGATGGTATAAGGGAGAAGGAACAGTAGCCAGGAAAAAGCATTTGACACCTATGACAGAAGAAAATTGAATGGAAAGAGCATCGGACCTAAACTGTTCTAAGAAAGTCTCTGCCAGCCTGATAGAGGAATGTTAGAGCAGATTACCCATTATGGCAATTCAGCATTGGGCAGAAGTGGCCTGGCTAGTATGCTAGGAGCAGCCTGAGGAGAAATCAGCCTCCATACAAATGCTGTGACAGATCAGGAGTTGAAACTGGAGGCTGCTTGCATCAAGTCACACCCCCCCCACCAGCTTTATTGAGATATAATTGAAATATAACATTGTATCAATTTAAGGTATTTAACAATGATTTGCTATGTGTATATATTGCAGAATTATTACAATGGTACGTTTAGTTAACATCCATCACCACAGTTAAAAATATTTTTTCTTACGAGATTTTTTTTTTTTTAAAGATTTTATTTATTTATTTGAGGGAGAATGAGTGAGAGAGAGCATGAAAGAGGAGAAGGTCAGAGGGAGAAGCAGACTCCCCAAGGAGCTGGGAGCCCGAGGCGGGGCTCAATCCCAGGACCCTGAGATCATGACCTGAGCCGAAGGCAGAGGCTTTAACCCACTGAGCCACCCAGGCGCCCCTCTTACAAGATTTTTAAAGATCTTTCTCAGAAACTTTAAAATATACAATACAGCATTACTAATGGTAGCCAGCATAATGTACATGACATCCCCAGAACTCATTTATCTTACCACTGGAGGTTTGTACCTTTTGGCCACTTTCACCTATCCTCCCTCTCACCTCTGCAAATCCACCTAGCCAACCACAAATCTGGTGGGTTTTTTTTTTTTTTCCCTATGAGTTTTTGTTTTTTAATTCCACATAGATGATTAGAGTATTTATCTTTCTTTGTCAGATTTTTTTTTTTTAATATGAGACACTTGTTTTTGTTTTAATTTTATTTATTTATTTGACAGACAGAGAGCACAAGTAGGCAGAGAGGCAGACAGAGAGAGGGGGGAAGCAGGCTTCTTGCTGAGCAGAGAGCCCGATGTGGGGCTCGATCCCAGGACCCTGGGATCATGACCTGAGCCAAAGGCAGAGGCTTTAACCCACTGAGCCACCCAAGCGCCCCTCTTTGTCAGATTTTTATTTCACTTAGCATAATGCCCCAAATTCCATCCATGTTGTCACAGATGGCAAGATTTCCTTTTCTATAGCTGAATAATATCCCATTGCATCTAGTTGCATCGAGATACCTCATTTTTTAAAATTTTTAAAAAGATTTTATTTATTTATTTAACAGAGATCACAAGTAGGCTGAGAGGCAGGCGGGGTGCTGGGGGGGGGGGAAGCAGGCTCCCTGCTGAGCAGCGCCCGATGCGGGGCTCGATCCCAGGACTCTGAGATGACCTGAGCCAAAGGCAGAGGCTCAACCCACTGAGCCACCCAGGTGCCCCGAGATACCACATTTATTTTTATCCATTCATTCATTAATGGACACTTTAAGTTGTTCCCATGGCTGTTAGAAAGCTGTAGTGAACATGTAGTTGCAGATACAGGATCATATAGTGGTTCTATTTTTAATTTTCGGAGGGGCTTCCATAATGTTTTTCATGATGGCTGTACCAATTTGCATTCCCACCCACAGTGTATGAGCTTTTCCTTTTCTCCACATCCTTGGCGTATTTCTCTCTCTTTTTTTAAAATTTTATTTATTTATTTGACAGAGCGAGATCACAAGTAGGCAGAGAGGCAGGCAGAGAGAGAGGAGGAAGCAGGCTCTCTGCTTGGCTGATGAGGGACTGGATCCCAGGACCCTGAGATCATGACCTGAGCCGTAGGCAGAGGCTTAACCCACTGAGCCACCCAGGCGCTCTCTCATCTTTTTGATAATAGCCATTCTACTA